CAAAGGAACACCGGAAAAATCGCCAATTAACTCTTAAACGTAACAACCAAAACCACTGCGTAATAAACTCAGCGACGCCATTTTTACTACTCGTAAATGACTAAGCGACAGATTGAGATAACGAATTAGGGCTTCCGTTGTGACTCTACGTTACAGTTTGAATGATTTTAACTATATTTTATGCTATTATGTTATTATAATAGAAATTTTATAACGCAGTAGTCTGTTCTCTAATTCTTTACTCACATATACAAAATCAAGGACCACAAACTTTGCGCGTTTCACTGGAAAAGGGTTTTATTAAACTTCTGTCGAAAGTACTCGACAGTAAAAAAGTATCGATGTTTTCTAGCGATATATTGATAAACATCGATGGTGGGATCCGATGTCTTACATCGAATATAAATATCGTTATACTTTCTAAGTGAACACCCCTAAGTAATAATAGGTGATAGCTATGGAGTGTAGTTTTCAGTTTATACAAAGGTACTCTGTGGTAGTAGTATAACTTACGCCCGAATACTGAAACGCAACTTGCGCTCTCCTTTCTGCCAAGGAGGGTCGCGTTCGTATACGGCTTAGAGATCTCTAGTCAGATCGTTAAGCCAATTCCTAAAAGGCGGTGTTTAGTGGGTAAAAGTGTCCACATAACCACGCAGCCGGCTGCGTGGTATGCTATGAGCATTCACCGCCTCCCTCCCCCGCTTTCCGGAGGGTTGCCCATAATTGCTTCGGGCGCAAAAAAAAAAGACGTGTGGCACTCGGGGACTGCCGCGGTAAAGCTATTGCATAGCATTTTGTATCAACTTATGCAATTATAATTATTTATTTATTTTATTTATGCAGTATTTCTTTTTCTTTGATATTAATTCAAGTTACCTCGGTTAATCCAATCAAATTCAACCAGATTTAACCGAACCCGCGTTATAACGAACTCACTATTTGTGCAAAATACTGTATCACCGGACCGCGTCGCAAATAACTCAGGTTCGCGCAGTACATACGTCAGGGCGGCCGTACGGCAATTATATTAACAAGACGCGCAACTACTCAGTTCCACGCTCCACGGCAAGATTTGTCACTTATTATTTATTGTCCAATTAATAGTCTTTAATTTCAAATGGCACGCTCTATTAACATAAGTCTAAGACAAAACAAGGAGACTTTCAATATATGAACAACCCGGCTTCGCGCAAAAACTCTCGCGACCCCTATAATGCGACCGGAGAACGTCATCGGCGCTAGCTAGGAGCGCGCCCTAGCGGCGGGCCGGGTGCAGCCCGGCCCCGCCGTCTGCTCCCTAGCTCGGCTCGATGCCAACAGGGGTGACTAAAGATGGGCGAAACTGTTATATTTTTCTAATTCGTTATGTTGTTGTAATATATTTTTCTAACTGTTGTTTTAAACTGTTATAATATATTATAACAGTTTTAAATATTACATTGTACACGCGGTTAGTTCAGTTCAGTCGTCGCCTGTGTTCGCGTTTTGTTGTATGTTGTTATAACGATTATAAATATTACGATGAAAGATTATTACGATTATAAATATTAGATGATTATAAGTATTATATGAAAACAAAAAATATTTTTAAGTTGTATCAGCATCAATTAAGTGTTTCGTGTTTTAAAGAGAATCATTTAAAATATTTATGTTAAGTTCAATGAACTTCCCTTCCTACTTTTTATAGGCTTAAGGATGTCTGAATGCATGCTAAGCTGTGTAATTATTGTATTTGTTATAATTATTTACTCATATTTTCAAAAAAATTACTTTTTTAAATAAATTATTAATTTTAAAAAGAAATAAATAACTCTTTCAGGCGTAGTTAGAAGCTCATTGATGTTACGTCATTTTGATTGAATTTTTACATTATTTACACTGTGGTCAAAGTTTTAGTTATCTACAATTATTTACATTTTTTTCAGTTACTATTCAAAAATATAATTTGGTTTACTTTTGACGACGTACTTAAGTCTTTTACGTCTATCCGATATTAAATCCGAACGACAAAACTCTTCATACACTCCTACGTATCTTTGCTTAAGGTGAAGCTTTAAATTTGTAATTGTACTTTAAAAAAAATTGTTTTGCAATAATTGCACACTGGTTTTTTTTTCGTCCACACTTTGGACTATAAAATAGTTCCAAATGGCTGCGCTACGCTGGCGTGACATTATTATACACTTTTACATACAACACGTTAAATCCTATCTATATTACACTAAATATATAAAATTACTTTAGGAATAAAACTTAACGAAAAATAAACAAAAACAACAATAGCTTTTTCACGTAATATGGGGACCTGATATCAAAACATTACGTATATAATTTAACAGATAACAGTGTCATTGTCATCTCAGCTAGACAGCTAACTGAACACTAAACTGATATATTATATATTACAACAGCCAAATTAAATAACAGGCACAACAGGCAACTAATGAAGGAAATAATATATTTTTGTTTACCGTTATAATTTAGTGTTAGTAAAATAAGCTCTTATTAAGTTAGCTTAGAGTTTAAATTAGTGTAAGCTATACGCAATCCTTGTGGCCCAATGAATGTAGGTAGTATTTTATTGACTCCTCTTGTCTCGTCCGACGGTTGGACCGTAAACGTAAACAGATGACGCTTTCTAACGATAATGAATATAATATTATAACAGTCAATGGGTCATTATTCTAATGTGTTATAAGATTAAAAATATATAATGAAATATATTATCTGTTGTATGTTATAACGCCCAACTTTAGGGGTGACCGACCGCGCGCACAAATGCAGCTAGCCTCCCCCTCCCGCACCTCACTAATCGTCGCTTCACACCGCTTGAGATAAGACGATCTACTATCAGGCGCTAACAAACTCCCGTCCCGGACATAAGGACCTACGTCCGCGAGTAAATTGGCAATTATAAGACGCTTTGTATTGTTGGTTTTTACAAAAACGATCAACTGGGCAAATGACATCTGGCCCTTTGCTTTGTGAAAAAGCATTACAGTTAAATAAAAAATTAGGTGACGGCGGCTCGTTTGTCGCAAGTAACGGATGGTTATATAGATTTATATCTCTTCATGGAATTTAATCAATGTTTATTAAAAAATAATAACTTCTTAACAAACATTGATTTTCGTTGAAATTGTTGTTTTTAATAAATACATAACATTATGTATGTACATATGTACTACAACTGCACAAAACCCGCTTTTCTTCATACATTCGATCATCCGGATTTTCGATTATCCGAATCCCTAACGGCAACAATTAGTCCGGTTAATCGTATATATATATATATATATAAAAAAAAAAAAAAAAAGTATATATATATATATTGAGAATCTAAATTGAGAATTTAAACTATACGCGTGTGTGTGTTTGTGTGTATATAAAGAGGGCTACTTTTAATATCGCTCATTTTAATATCAAAAATTTAAGTTATCTTTATAGCAGTATTATATTTTCAATTCAAAATTAGTACTGCATTTGTGATAATAATAAAATGTAGGTATGTATATAGAGTACTCACTCATTTTCTTTCACTATTTTTTCGTGACTTTCTTCATTAATAATAAATGCACTTTGTTCATTCATATTCAAAATTTCAAAACACTTTATACACACACACCGTGTCGAAGACTGAGGAAAAGAAACGACGTTAGACCATCGTTAGACAATGCACGGCCTTCAAGCCACACCTCCGTGCCCGTCGGAGAGCGTGAGGTTTTTTCGTTACGGAATTTCTGGATTTTCCCGCACTCAAGGCCCGCGATAGAAGCTATGCAATAGCTTAAAAAAATGAAACGCAACTTACAAATTATAAATCTGTCACTTTATTAAAGGCCCCCTAAATTTGAGCATCTACCAAATTTAACTGCAATACAGAAACATCACTCAAGTGATTTGAGGGTTTGATTAGCTAAGTAGCCCTCAAATGTTTACGTCATGGTAACATTAGTAAAAAACTTTGTTATTCTTGACAATTTTACGATATTTGAACTTGAATACGTTTTATGCAACATCATCTGAAAATATTTAAATAATTTTATATTCGATTTGCTTTAAAATTATATTCATCAATAATCTCCTAACAACACTTTAATTTTAAATGTGCTGCACACTCTCACACAATACCAGTGTAAAATAGAAGTTCGATGCTGCGGTTTCATTTGGTTAACGTAGAGACCTAGAGAATCTTTTTTTACTGGAAACTAGGCATTCCATCTTAGTCCTCAGGGTTGACAACCCATCTGAATTTTGATTCTTAATCGAGGATAGGTTAAGATGTCTATGAGCGACATAATCATCTATGAGTACAGGACTGTGTGATCGTTTGTGACCTATCTCATCCTACCTACCTATATTATTGTTATCTATCGTTCCTTAAAAAACACATGCGCAGTTCACACGCAGTAGAAGTGAAAGCCTCGAAAAACTAAACTTCGAGAGAAGGAGACAAATGCCGAGTATCAGGAATGGGGTAATAATTGAATGGTTTATGTAATTAAAATATAAATAAACTTATAATTTACATTGTATACTGTATTCTATTATATTACATGTTCGTCTCTTTTAGTGTGGCTTTTTCGTTTCATCGTATTTCAAATGACAACGACTCTATTAGAATTTTCGCTTCAAAATCTGAACCTTACATATAACTATACCCCTATGTCTGTCTATGGGAGGCCTATGTTCAGCAGTGGACTTTTTGCAGACGTCTGCGGAGTGGGGATGACCCGTATTACATGAATAGTGGACAAACATAGTAGATACAACGGAAATAAGATTGGCAGTGCATCTTAGAAAACAGACATCGGTCGAAAGTAAACAGGATTGTTCGTTGAACGCTACAATTGCGCATGAGGCATTGTTCGACTGCAGGTAGTTCCGATACCACAAGTTCGTAGAAAACTGTTAGTCCTTATTTTCGCTACCGAGTTATCTGGGCCTATATTGATTTAAACAGAAAAAACACCTTAACACAATTTTCACTAAATTACCAATGTAATATGTTAGAACATCCTCGTTATTTGCGCTGTCATGCAAGCTTAATGTGACCATATATTTTTCCCTCAGAACGCAATTTTTGGTTTTAAAATAAAACACATGTTTATGGATACTATATGTTCAAAAAAAAGAAATTAGAACTTATCTCTTATACAGTTTCGTGAGCTGACCGTTTATATCTTGACCGACTTCAAAAAGGAGGAGGTTCTCAGTTCCATTGTGTGTTCTTTTTAAGTTCCCGCTAAGAAAATTGAGAATTTTCAAAAATAGGGAAGTTATTGGTTTAACCCCGATTTTCGAAAATCTAGTTTTCATCAGATCTCGACGTTTAGAGATCCCAGGAAGCTATTCTGACTAATTTTACGTGGACATCCGTACGGATGTACGTATGCATGCGTGTGTGTAAGTATGTAAACCTTTCATAACTTTTGAACGTCATGATCGATTGTTCAATCTGTTGCGAATCAATGTGTCGCGGTTTGCGGCGTTCTAAAGATTTCAATGTGGAATAGAGTTCGTGATAATATGAACAGATTCGGACGGACTTTACGGACTATTCGGATTTTAATAATTGAGGATAATTTTTGTTTTTGATAAAAGTTCTCAACTATTATTTGATTTTTATTATTTCTTAATTCCTCTCAGCAAGTTCAGGATGTTTCTAAATTGCTATACCGTCAAAAGTTCTAAAACTTTTACAGGCTCCAACCACAATTTAATCTTTTAAGGTTTTTTTATTATTAAGAACATTAGTTACGTAATAGTTACAGGCTTTGAGGTATTCCATTTTTCCCCTTGTAGCCTTTTTTGTTTAATATTAAAAATAAATTAAAAAATGTTATCTACGAATGTTAATAGATGCACGTTTGATCACCCTTATTCAATATAAAAAAAACTTGGTCCCAACGAGCGACATCTGTGAACGGAAGATAATTAACCCTCAATATATAATATTAATAATAATTTCATTCTAATTTGTACTAAATAATAATCATTAAATAATCATAAATACAAAAACAAATCATATATTAATTTCTATATGCGGACGAAGGGAGCATAGTACGCAATATTCTGGTCAATGGATCTTCAGGTGGGCAAGATGTACGTTTCGCATCTTTAATGACCAGTGAAATCGGACTGGATTGAATAACCGGTTCTTTGTTACACCATGTCTCGAACGAATCATTGTTAAAGTTTCACCCATAATAAATAATAACATAATAATAAATAAGATCAGCCATATCGTGGTAGCTCACATGGTTAGCGTTCGCTGTAAATCTCACAGTACGCAAGCAACCCGGGTTCGATCCCCGCCGGCACCAATGAAATTGTTAATTGCAATTTTAAGGACATACTTACCACGTGCTAGGCGGTAAGGAAAACATCGTGGGAAAACGACGGACACTTCCTTGCCCTAAAATCCTCTCAAAAATGAGAGGAGGCCTGTGCCCAGCAGTGGGACGTATATAGGCTGTAACTTTAACTTTATATAATATCTACAATTATATTGGTGCACCTGCTTATTAAAACATAATAATTACATTTTACAGCGTTTTTATTAACTCACTTTCGTGTATGTCGTGGGCGGGTCGAATTCAGAAATTGATTTTAAACTATCTTTCCGAGAAGCTTAGAGACTTGAAATGTGTGTATGTAATGTAAAATAGCTCAGGATTGGATAACAAACAACAATATAAAGGAAAAAACTTTTTACGTAGGTACATACATAATCCACAGATTTACTTAATTTCTACTAAATTGAACTTAATAAAATCAATTAAAACCAACTTAAAAGAATATAATAATTTCCACGTAATAGCTTTTGAAAACGGTGCTAAGACTGTTCCAAATAATTAAAACCCATTTAAAAAAAAGTTTACACACTCTCTGATGTCGGTTCATTACTCTTTATTAAAATAAAATTAGTTCTTGTTAGTTTCTGTTTGACTTCAAAAAAACTTACCATTTCACAGTACTTTTTTTTGAAGTCAAACAGAAATAAGAAACCAAAAAGGGGGAGTCATTGTTTCTACAGCAGTGGTGTTGAGGAGTAGGCCACTCCTCGCTACCATGAGATACTCAGTTGAGACAACTTTGTAAGACGTCACGTGAGACGGGCCATTGCGGCCGGGCAATGAACGGTGGTTGGGAATTAACCCAAGGCCTCCCTCTGAGAGAACGCACCCCCAAATACATGCTTCGCGGACCGTTAGGGTGTAGAATTAGCAGCTCTAACCGGTCACTGTTTACCTGTGTAGAAACGGACCCCCTCGTTAACTTTTTTTTTTTTAGCTTTGAAGCAAATATGGGCAACCCTCCGGAAAGCGGGGGAGGGAGGCGGTGAATGCTCATAGCATACCACGCAGCCGGCTGCGTGGTTATGTGGAGACTTTTACCCACTAAACACCGCCTTTTAGGAAATGGCTTAACGATCTGACTAGAGATCTCTAAGCCGTATACGAACGCGACCCTCCTTGGCAGAAAGGAGGGCGCAAGCCCCCCCCCCCCGCTCTCGTTTAGTGAACATGTCTTATATATGCTACTGGAGCAAAAAAATTTTAATAGCGTGAGCCAGAACATGGACTTAATAGGGTAGAAACATTGTGAAAAATAAATCGCAACAAAGGTTAATTATTTTGCAATAATGTTGTGCATGATTTTGTTTTACGTTAGTTAACTTTAATAATTGTAATTAAGGTTGCCCTAGTCGATGGCACGAACTAAGTGGTGGGCGGGGCAAAAATGCATGCTATCTCAGCCGACATCTCGTGCGAAAGGGATAGACGCTGTGATGAGCAGTAAGAAGCTAGTGCGCACACACATACGCACTCGAGTGACGCAATGCGCGACGGCATCATCGCGTACCTAGGCACCTATGCAATTCATTTTAGAATAATAACATAAACACAAACGGCATTGTGAACTTCGTGCCGCAATGGCGTAGCAATGAGTAGCTGCGCTGGGTGCCGCGGGTTCGAATCCCCCACGGAACAAATATTTTGTATGGACTACAAATAGTTGTTCCGGGTCTGGATGTTTGTTCTTGTGCAATTTATATTTGTAAACTGCCTCCACGATACTGGAGAAAATCCACTTGGGGATAACGTATTTTAAAAAGAGAAAGGAGAGAGAAAGCAAATTGGTGTTATTGTAACTTAGGATCTGCTGTGTGAAACGTAATTATTATGAACCCAATTTATGTACTTAGTTGTTATGATGAAAGTTCTTATGTGAACTTAAGTAGATGTTGTTATTATATAATAATTCCATTGATTTGTTTTTACCTACTTTTTAACCGACTTCGAAAAAAGGAGGTGGTTCTCAATTAGTTGGTTTTTGTTTATGAATGTTCTGTCCCCCGATTTCTCGAATATGCCTGAACCGATTTGAAATTATTTTTTTTGTTTAAAGGATATATTTTCCAGATAATCCCACGGTAATCGACGATGATCAGATCAGGATCTGATGATGGGATCTTGGAGAAATCGGGGGGCACTCTTCAATAAATGACAGCAAATCAACCGCGATTGCTGCTATCGCCTATCTATGCATTCTTTACGCAATCACACAATATAATATCACGCCTGTACCCACTAAAGGGACATAATTCTAAACTAAAAACGGAAAAATAAAAGATACTTAACATAAGAAACTTTTTTTGAAAAAAATATAACAATTTCCAAAACAAACACAAAAAAGTGTAACATAATTATGTTTTCTGTATGTTTTTGTATTTTACTGTAGGTTATGCAAATATTACTGTAGGTACTACGTATTCTAAATAGGTATTTACTTTCCATAGCTAGTTAGCTATAATAGCCCGCAGGCAACTCCCCGACCCCGAAGTATATGTCAGCCAGTGTCAGGATAACTGCTTTTTCGACAGCGCGATTTTGATGTGAGTGTGGCTTTTATATAGGTAAATTAAATAAAAAAAAATGTTAGTTTGTAAATTGTTTATTGATTGTTTGTGTTCAACAGCGGTTTGAAATATTCTCTTAGTACTTAGAAAGTATTTACCAACAGGCATTGTGTCACTGCAGGGACAAGCACAAACGTCTATTAAAAATAGTAACGTATATAAACGGAATACTAACAGCATAGACTTCCTTACAGAAGTCCAAAGAACACGTCTAGGCAAGGTAAGTAATTAGAAGAAAACTACAATTTAGAGATCGATTGTAAATCAAATTCACAGTACAGACACAATTAGCGAAATATGAATAAAATTTTTATTTATTTTATGATAGATAACGCTAGTTGAAAACTAAACACTGCATGGGAATGGCATCACTGAACGAGTCAGGTGATCAGTCCAAACAAATAAAAGGCGCGATTATAGAAAGAAATTCGTTACTTGGTCGGGGCTTGGCCTGTTTATGCTATTCATAACGAAGGGTACAAATATGTAGGTATAACTTAGAAACTAAATCCTATGTGTACTTATCTGTATTCATAATCCAATATCTAAGGTAGGTTATTCTGTAATAAAAGTAAAGTAAAGTAAAGTTACAGCCTATATACGTCCCACTGCTGGGCTCAGGCCTCCCCTCATTTCTGAGAAGGTTTAGGGCAAGGAAGTGTCCGCCGCGCTGCCCAAATGCGTGTTGACGAACTTCACATGTCTTCGAAATATTTTTTTCTTATTCCTCAGACATGCAGGTTTCCTCACGATGTTTTCCTTCACCGCCGAGCACGTGGTAAATCAGCAATTAAAATTGCAATTAACAATTTCATTGGTGCCGGCGGGGATCGAACCCGGGTTACTCGCGTTCTGTTATATTTACAGCGAGCGTTAACCGCTGAGCTACCACGGCTCTGTAATAAATTAAATCTAATCCAAAATATAGGTACTATAATACCATAGCAAAGCTACTACTATTTTTTTAGTAGTAGCTTATATAGTAGTATAGTAAATATATATAAAAAAATATGAGTATTATGTCTGAGGTAAGGTTAAATATAAACAAATATTTTGCCAAGTGCGAATCGGACTTCCGAGCTTCCGGGATTACAAGATTTAAATACCTATACATATTACTATCGATCAAAAA